TATATATATATATATATATATATATATATATTATCAACCACCATCCACACATTGATAGAAATGAGAAAGATTCAGATACAAAGTTATGGTAAGGCAAACTTATGAGGTTGAAAATTAACTTTTTTCAGTAGCTTGAGTTAAATTTGATTGGTTAACTCCGCCTGAGCTGGTTTACAAGCTAAGTTAGACCAATTTCCTAAAAATGCATGCTTAAACCAGTCACTACAAGCCCATTTTGGAGCAGAAAAATAGCAGCCAAACTTCCACTATAGTGGCTGCCATAGTCCCAAACAACAATTAGTCTCTACTATATTGTAGCATGTTTTGGCCCTTGCAAACTCTCACTGTGGCCACCATGGCTGTTCTTCAAAATCACAAGCTGATCTAAGCAAAATCAATCTGAAATCCACTGGAGCATATAAGTACTTGTTTCCAATAGACATGGCCTGATCATCCCTGTCATAACTTGAGGAGACGCTAAAATCATCATTCATTTGTTACACAACTTGTCTTTCCTTCTTGAAAACTATGAGCCATCCACCTTTCCGAATCCGAGTTTGATAAAGCTTTTCCGGTTAAAGATCGTCCCGAAGGGTGTCTTGGCTAGATTAGACTAAACATGTGCTATGCTGGGCTGTCACAAGCTAATACCAGATTGTTTTGTATCAAGAAATGCAATTTTGGAACCAGATCTATACCAGTCTACGACCAAACGAGTGAGTATAGGTCAGTCAGGGCCGGCATACTGACATACGACATGTCGCCACATACCGCGGTACTAAGTGAAGGGGGAGGTGGAGGAAAGGAGGAGGAGGAAGCGGCAGAGGAAGAGGCGGAAAGGAAGAGAAGGGAAACGAGATGGACCGACAATGTGGGCGATGGAGAGAGAAGGGTACAAGACAACAGAGAGCAAAGCAGAGAGGGTGACAAAGGTGGCAAGCAAGATGGGGGCTGCTCACGTGTGCTTTTAGGGCTTTTAAGTAGCAACTAACAAAAGGGATATGGTTAAGTGTTTTAAGCAGCAAGTTTAAAGAAAGAAGAATCATTCACGCTTGAACTGATCCAACCTAGGCGAAATTGAAGTCCTTGCTTGATATAATGGTGAACAAAAACATAACAACATGTATAGGAGCTGAACCAGCCACTTTTGGGCCTTCATTATCATCCGAAAGCACTTATTTTGGGCCAGAATTGTTCCAGGCTGATCTGTTCAGGCTGGTGGTGGTTGTATCATAACATTGCATTGCCAGAAAGATTTTCATAAGCAAACCATCATTCTCAAGATGTAATATCCACAATCATTAATCATACATATTTAGCAGCATCAGGAGAGCACAATGTTAAGTTGACAAGTCTTAGTTCTAGCTTGTAAGTGCTTGATACATCATGCTTCCTCAAATTTATAAGTGCTGCATGATAGCAATTCTCGAGTGGATAATTTGCTGAGGATCAACAAATCAATCGGTATCATGGAGATTGTTATGCTATATGACCAATTCACTGTAACAAAAAATGTACAATACATATTTCTAGATTCCAAAGTAATGCAGACATAACAGTGAAATGAGATGTTGTTGAATCAATGCATATGAAAAGTTTTTTGTTACAGGTTACGATCATTTTGATGACTTAATCATGGCAAAAAGTTGCTGGACTGATTGTTCTAAGGCTTTTGCACCTAATTAGTTTTTAAGCTAAACAAGATGAAGGCACCAATCATATTTGACAGAGTCCAGTTGCTTTTGAGAATGTTCACCTAGAAGTCATATATATTACCCAAAAGAAAATTGTTGAATATAAAACACATAACAAATTAAAGGTCATAGATCATTGACTGGACATGTCACTAAGCACCTTAGTGTTTGATGAACCAGGAAAGAACTTATACATGGTTACCACCAGAAAAGTGGAGAAATATCATAGATATGGTCTCTATGTAGGACCAAAATAGGCAGTATGTTAAAAAGAAAGCAAATAAAGAAAACAATAAGTTAGAAATGGCACGGAGATGTAGCTTGCCTCAGTGGGTGAACAAGCAAATAGACCAAATGGACTAAAAAGAAAAAACCTTCGTTTACCTCAAGGCCTATGAGAATGAGCTCTAGTATTGCCCAACCCTTTCATAACAAATTCTAATATTCATGTCTCTTATTTTCCATGAAGCAAGAAAGTTTTGGCAAAATAAAGAAAATGAGGAATAGTGATTTGAACTTTGTGATGTTTTTCTTGCCTACTTACACCCTTAAAAAAGAGCTGCTTTCATTTATTTGCAACAAGAGCCAGAGGACTTCGAGTTTATGAATCCTTACCATGTTAAATGCTGTCATGCCCTGCCAAGAAGGCGGTGTTGGCTATCAGCATAAGGGGTGTGTTGGCCATATTGTGTCAGCAATTTGCTGAAGCCTCTTATACTGCCAACACAAAAGATATTCCTAAAGGCATTCGTAAAAGAGATAGGTGTGTGCCCTTCTTATGTATTGCATCTCATCAGATAAATCATCTGCCAAATCTCACAAGGCTTGTTAAACACTTTACGGCTCCTTCATAGGCCCAAGAGGCATTGGTTGAACGGTAGATAAAGGTCATCCAGATGGATGAGAGGGATACATTGTGCACCCCGTCAAAAGAAATGTGGGCAGGGTAGAGATCGGCAGGAGCTAACCCTACTCATGAGAACACTCTGATCCTCTTCTAGTTGGGTAGAGTAACAGTGTCTGACGAGCCAACATTTGGAGTCCTTTCCCGAGTCTCAAGAGCAGGAATGGAGCTCGGTCCATCTCCTCCGGAGTGTAGTAAATAATCTCCTTTTTCCCATAGTGTCACGGACAAACTTTGAAATAGGGTGTTTGATGTAATGCTTATGTATGTCCGTGTCTTTTGGCATGTTCATGCCTTGTACAGCATGTAGAGGGGCGGCCGAAGGCTTAATAGTCTCATTTTAGTTGGGTTGGTGGCCTCTTTAGGCTTGTAAATAAAGGTTGTGTCATGTGGACACGTGCGAGAGATTCTTGGTCTGTAATGGACCATTTTACCCTTTGTTGTGCCACTGTTCAGAGCTTGTAAAGTTTGTTTGTAATTTGCATTGTCTATGAAGTGTTTTTCGGATATGTTTGCTTATGGATCCCAATTGAGGCGTTCTCTCTAGCCCGTTCTCTCTTTTT